GGACTGGAGGACCAGGCCGAGCTCTGCGCTCTGCGCCTCGCGTCGGGCCGGACGCCCGCTAGCCCTTCCCCAGCCCCAGCCCCAACCCCTTCGGGTCTCCGCCTTTGCAGTTCCGCCCGCCCCGCCGGGGGGGCTCCTGACAGGCCTCGGTTACCCTGGTCTCGCCTGTGATCCTAGCACAGGCCCCGCAGAAATTGCGGTCAGCTCGCGGGCAGTGTCACCACCACGAAGCCGAGCACTTGGTACCAAGTAAAACATTACGTGCGCGTCGCGGTGCCTGGCGGTGACACTGCCTCCGCTCATCCTCTGGGCAGTGGGAAACTACTGCCTCCTCCAAGTTCCAGGGCCTTTTGAGCTCACCGACTCACCTTCACTGGATACTTGAAGCCGAGTAGATTTTTTTGCCCTACTCCTTTCTCGTATTCCCAACTTGTTTTCTTAAATTTCCTAAAAGAAGGAAGGCGCGCGCGGGGGTGGGGGTGGGGTTGTTGTTCATCATATACAAATCACTCTTAAGTATGAGGGTAGGACCATCTATCTCAGTCACTGAATGAGCCCAGTATTGGGCTGAAAAACAAAAGAACTCTTCAGTTCCCTTCAACACTCTTTTTGGTGAAAAAGTATCTGCAGGAGCTGTAACCCAGAAAAAGGTGATTCACGAGAATTTTTATCCCTCTACTTAAACATTCTTTTCTGACTCAAATAGTCCCATAGTTTCCAAAAAGCATTGAACTTGTAAGTTTTAATCAGGCTTGCCTCCGTTTTTGCCATAGATTGGCATGCCATAGCTTGACACTTGAGAACGACGATAGGAACAATGAGGGAGAAGACTGAACCCCCCCCCCCAATCTAATCCCCCAGGTTCTTGGGGATGCAAAGAGTATTTACAGAAACATTTCTCAAAAATCCCTGTTTGAAAAACGTGTAGCATGTCTGTGACTTCCTAATAGAAGTTGGAAGTTTTAGTGAAGTCATTCACGTTTATAATATAAGCTATGGTGACACCTCTGCTGTGCAAATAATACATTTGTATTTTTTATTTGCAATACATGTAAAACTGGCTCTTAAAATTTCAGAAATGTTCTTGGGGCTTTTTGGTGGTGCTGGAAAATTATAATTGTTGAGTTTTTTATATTGGCAGCATACCTGGTTCTCTTATGAGCAAGATGAATCATTTGGTTATACTCACTTTAAAATACCAAGTAAACTTTATAGCATTGCTTCTATTGACCACACAGTTTATGCATTTTACACGTAAATTAGGTGTAGTGGCTGTTGAATTTAGGCTAAACTGCCCGTTAAGTGTTGGTTAAAAGGAGTTGAAATAGTGTAATTTGTAATCCCTATTCTCTGTAGCTGTCATTATGTAGAAGATTATGTGTCTTTGTCTCATCATCTGTGAATCATAGATAATAATTACCTATCTCACCAGTCAGAATGACTTTGCAGAGTTCTTTGGAATGTTTATTACCAAAAAATTAAAATGTGTTCTCACACTTAAAAACATTTAGTAGGTTTTAAAAATAACCTTGTGTATGAAAATTTAGTTTCAGTAATACTGAAACTTTTTAAAAGGGATACTGTAATTATGGTAAAATTTTAAAAATCATTTAGAAAAAGAGTACTGTTTAAGTTGGATGGGTGTAAGAAGAAAAGAGTATTTGAAGAACTTTTGGAAAAAAATTCTTAAAAAATACTTTTCTTTGTTAAGAGATAAGGTTTAGTTTATGCTTCTAAAATTCCTGTGTGGGAGCAGATGGGGTTTGGGAAAAACTTATGAAGAGTAAGGAGAGGAGGAAACCCTGAGGGAAACTGCTTCTTTATTTGCATACTTAAAATGAGAAATGCACGTTTGTCAGACTAACACTGAAAAAATTTAAAGGTGGAAAGGAAAACAATATTCTAGAGCAGCACTGTCCAAAAGGAGTATGTGAGCCATATTTATAATTTTCAGTTATCTGATAGCTGTATTTAAAAAAATAAACACAGATGAAGAAATTAACTTTAATGATGTATTTTATCCAGTATATTCAAATATTTCAACATGTAATCAATATAAAAATTATTGAGATATTTCACATTATCTTTTTGTACTAAATTTTTGAAGTCCAGCGTGTATTTTACACTTACAACACATCTTAGTTCAGAGTAGCCACATTTTAATGCTCAATAAACAGTGACTACTGTATTGGACAGTGCAGTTATAAAGTTAGTATCCCTAATTTATAAAGAATTTTTACAAACCAGTATACCTTCCAGTAGAGAAGTGGGCAAAGGAAATGAATAAAGAGTCCATAAAGGAGTTAAAGTGGCCAATAAAAATGTGAAAATGTTTCACACTCACTAAGAAAGTTTCTTTGGCTTTGCATAGAGCATGTACTTATTTTTTAATATATTTATGTCTTGCCTCATTTGACAAAAGTTTGAGGTAAGAAGATGCTCTTTTAAGTACTTACTACACATCAAATTAACAGACACATGCTTTTATTTAAATCTGAGATTAATGAAAATGTAGTTTTTAAATAAAAAGATAGAAATTAAACCTTTGTATTTTATTCCTGTCTCTAATGTGCTCATAAGAAAAGTAGAGTGGAGGTTTTAACAACTTTTGTCCCCAGGACCCCTTCCCTTAAATTGGACAGTACAGTTATGGAGTTAGTATCCCTAATAGGAACATTGACAATTCTAAAAGACCATTTTGGTAGACTGACAGCATGATTCTGTGTAGTTCAAGGTAATGAGAGAATTTATAACTGTAAAATGAGTGTAACCTTAGTGTGTTCCTCATAAAGTTTTTGTGAGTTAGGATCATTCAAGGAAGAGGTGCTAGACATTGTAGTTACTGATGGTGTAATGCTGAGCAAGACAGACACAGTTTTCACATTTATTGGGCAGACACTAGGAATGAGAAAACATAAGTGCCGTACAAGAAATATGCAGGGTGCTGCACTAGAAAGTAAGCAGCAGGGACTGTTTCATTTTCATTACATATGTTGGCTTGGGACTCCAGCTTTTCTGTTGTTGCTGTTTTTATTTTCTTAAAGCAAATATTAACAAGAGTTAAGCAAGACAGTAGAGATGTATGCCAAGAGGCAGTGCAGGAAGTTGCCAGCATCTCATAATCTTTACTAAAAAAAAAAAAAGAAAAAGAAAGGCTTTCTTATTACTGTGTCCTGGAGAAAAATCACATCTGCAATAGTCTTTTGGGTTGAGCTACCCAGTCTAGGTCACACTTTTGCTTGCTAGGTGATTAGACATAAAAGGGGTTTTCCTGCGTTTTTGTCAGCTGAAAGCATAGAAGTAAACTAGAAATAGTGTGTTACTATTAGCAGTAATAATAAAATAATTTAGCAATGGAAATATTTTTAGTTTTTAAAATTTAGGCATTTTTTGAAAATACAGAAAAGTATAAGGTATAGAGAAAAATTATGCAGAATCCAGATATTTCACCAGTAACATTAAAAAAAAAAATTGTCTTTATTGTTGAAAGTATTATAGCTTCCCCCCCCTTTTGGGGGGGGAGTGAGAGATTAATCAAAGAATTATGTGCATAACCCATGGACACAGGCAGATGAGGGGTGGAAGGGACTGATGGGGGAAAAAAGGGGTCACCAGTAACATTTTTAATAGTTAAGTTCATACTGTACTATTTTGTCTTCTGTAAATATTGTGACATGAGTATTTTTACGTTATTAAAATGAAATATAGGGATGTCTCATAACCTATCATCCTATGGGGGAACATTTATTTTCAGTTTTTGCTGTGATAAGTAATACCATGAAGAACAGTTTTTGCATTCTATATTTTATAGTATATTTTATGGGCCTAGCAAGTTTCTGCTGTGTTACTCTGCTTATTGTGTATTTTAAATTCACTATTACTATTCTCTGTAAAAATAAGTGATTTATCAATGGTTTAATTTTTAATATGTCAGTGCTTTAGAAATTTTGGGGAAAAACTGCTGAAATAGTTTCTTAAGTATTGAGACTGACCTCTGGAAGACTTAGGGTACACATTTTTACTCTGGTCCTGTTTGTTTTTAGTTAGGCAACATACACAGTATGTCAGTTTATATGGGAGAAAAAGTGTTTCTTGTGTTGTTGTTGTAGTTTGAAAAAGAAGGCCAAATTTCGTCTGAAAGCCAAAGTGGTAGACGACAGACCAGACTGGAGAGAGAGGACAAGTGGTAATCAGTAGCTGTGGTCATTAGGAGCTACAGAAGCACTTGCAGTAAAATAAAAATAGGGAAGAGTAATTGTTGTGACTGGACTGATAAAGACACCAGAAGCTTGCAGTCTTGAAGAAGAAACTGCCCTTATATATTCAGCAAAAATAAGGTTCTTGTCTAGGCCTATAAAACAGTGAACACCAAACTTAAGACTGATCTATATGTAGCTTATTTTAGAAGTCACCTTAAAGAAAGGGTATTAATGGTGGGTAATATTTTTTACTCTCTTTCTGCCTCCTAGAATTAATGAATGAATTCAGTAATTTATTTGACAGATGTTTGTGTTTCTACTGCTATGGGTTAGGTATTATATTTGCTTTATTGACTCAAATATGGTCCTGTGTATTTTTTAGAATATAAAATGTTAAAGGTGGTAATGTATTCTGTAAGTTTTGTGCAGTTTTTTATCTTGTTTTAATGCCAAATGGGTACTTTTAAAGTTTTTGATACCTGACATTCTCCTGAAGTTAAAAATTAAGGACTTTTCAAAACAGCTAGCAAGGAAGCCATCAAAGATTACTAGGATAGTGGCAAGAGGACACAGGAGTCAATTTGAAGAGAATACTAGCCCAGAATGAGACTGTTGGAGCATTAATCAGGGTAATGACTAACATGGATTGAAATACATTAAATAATGCTTAAATCTATGAAATTATGATACATGCAATACAAATTGACATTACTCCTGCAGGATGGTAGGTAATGAACTTGTTATATTGAGAGCTAGAAAATAAAGGGAAAGAATTAAGCACCTAGCTTGATTTTCCTATGTGAGCTATACTGCTGGATAACCTAATAAATATAGGGAATGTTCTCTTTGTAGACGTATATGACTAATAATGAAGTGATAAATTATCACCATTTTGTAACCACTTAATGAGTAGATGGTTCTAGGCATTGAACAACAGCGTATTACTATCACAGATAGACAACCAAATATTATGTGGCTTCTGATGAAAGAATTCATCACCACCTAACAAGTAGTGTTGTAATAAAAAGAACCAGAAATCAGATAAAGCCTTTATTTTGTTTTATTTATTGATTTTTAGAGAGAAAGGAAGGGGGAAGAGAGAGAGAAATATCTATTTGTTTTCCATTTATTTATGCATTCATTGGTTGGTTCTTGTATGTGCCCTGACAGGGGATTGAACCCACATCCTTGGCATATGGGGATGATGCTCTAACCAGCTGGGCCACCTGGGCCTGGATAAAGCCTTTAGATCCACCAATTTTTAGAATGTATAGAAGAACAGGATAAACAACACCAGGGAATTAAATCAGCAAAATTTAGACTGGAAAACTACCAGGACAAAAAGTTAGGACAAACAACTTGGTCTCTTCAATACGAAAACTACTCTTAAAAAAGAAATTATCCTGTAGCTTAAAAGAGATTTAACGGACATCTCAGTCAATCGCAGTATGTGAACCTTATTAGGATCTATTCACATACACAAAAACTGGAAATTGATGATATTAAGGAGTGGTTTATTGTTTTTTACTTGTAATGATGCTGTGGCTGTGTTTAAAAAGTTCTTGTTTCTTAGAGTACATACTGAAATGTTTATAAATGAAATTATTTTATGTCTGAGTTTTGTGTCAAATTAATATGGAGGTGAGATATTGGTGTAGGTAAAGATGAGACAAGGTTGACTATGAGTTGATACTTTTTGAAGATAGGCAATAGGCACATATATGTTTATGGTACTTTTTTTTCTGCTTTTGCATGTGCTTGAAATTTTCTGTAATACAATGTTTTAAAATCTAAGGAGAAAAAAAATCTAGCATCAAGTCATAGGAACATTGTCATCTCCTGAGGAAGGATTTTTTAGGCTGTGGAGTAATCCCTCTTTAAACACTTTAGTGCAATCTCTATAAAATCATATCATCAATGGGTGAAAAAAAGGTGTTATGACATATTGTCTTTGTTATGTAATAATCATAAAAGATATTTCAAAAAGGGCTGACAAGTCAACACCAGTGGCCCATTGTGAAGATGCTTTCATGGAGGGTGGGTTTCTTGGGAGAATTTGCTTTAGCCTTTGTGTCACAAATTAATTTTGCTCGTAGCCTACATATTTTACCATGCAAGAAGATACACTGTTATATTTGCTTTTCTCAGCCTTTCAGAAATGGAGGTGCCCTAGCTGGTTTTGCTCAGTGGTTAGAGTGTCATCCCCGGACTGAATGAAGGGCTTCAGGTTTGATTTTGGTCAAGGGCACATACCTTGGTCATGGGTATATATCTTGGTTGCAGTCTGGATCCCTGGCCCCAGTGTGGGACGCAACCAGTCGATGTGTCTCTTTCACATTGATGTTTCTCTCTCTTGCTCTCTCCCTCTCTGTCTCTCTCCCTCATTCTCATTCTCTCTCTCTCTCTCCCTCTCCCCCTGTCTCTCTCTCTCTCCCCCTCTCCCCCTTCCACCCTCTCTGAAAAGCAATGGAAAAAGTATCCTCGGGTGAGGGTTTAAAAAATAAAAAATAGAGGCAAATGACCAAAATTATACTGGGCTTTCGACAATTATTTGCCAACTAAATGAAAGCGTAAGTTGACATCAGGAAGTTTTAAAAACAAATAACTTCCAAGCCTGAAATTTGAGTGAATACTTAAGCTGCCTCTGTCCCTCATGCTTTTCAAATTATCTTCAACATTTACAGTAACTTAAGTTCCTGATGAATTTACTGAACCATTAAGAAAAGATTTATTTTTTCATTTCAGAAGGCATATATCTGCACATGCACATACATGAATTGACATTTTTCTAAGCATTTAGAAAAGTCTAAACTCAAATGTTTAACCCTCCACTCTTGGAAAAACAACTATCTAATGATATAATTTCATTAATACACCTAAAACTTTAGAAAATATATAAGTTATATCTAGACAGGGTTTTGAGTTCTTTTACAAAGAATTCTAAGTACTCATAAAAAAAAAAGATGAAGGTCACAGGAACGTAGAGACAGACAGATTTACTTTTCTACCACTTAAGGGTAAGTGTGGAATATGTGTTTTTCCCCCTGTATTTCAGCCCTCTAAAGCCCATAGCCAACCCAGATGCAGTGACTGAAGTGCTTCATAATTAATATTATTCTCTCAATTAAAATTCCCATATACTGAGAATTTTGCCAACATTTCACTAGATATTAATCTAATTATCCTTTTAAAAATCAGTGACAGTATGAATGACTGATTAATATAATTCACTTATTGATTATGAAATGAAAGGAACAAATCTGCAGCTAGTAGAAAGAGGACATAGTGTAATTTTGAGCAGTTTGGAATTTTAAGTAGGAAGCCCTCCTGACCTCTCACCTCAAGAGTTCTGTATCCTGAAGAGTACATTATGCCAATATATTTTTTTTTTGCAAGTAACCAGCATACAAAACAAAGAATATCTGTTATATGCCAGACACCTTTCAAAATAGCTGAATAATATGAATTTTTAAAATATATTTTAAAATTTTCCATGTGAATAAATTTACAAATGAGAGAAAATAGGAGTATTATCCTTTATTTTCTTTACAGAATTTTATCCCTTTATATTTAGGTCAGTGAAACACCTCCAGTGCAGAGAGGGTGGTTTGGCATTGTACATTTGGGTATCTTGCAGTATGAAAGTTTTACTGTTATTCCATAAAATTATTCTCTTTCTAATCATAGTAGGCATGTTTTATTGGGTATAAGAATCCTTGTGAGCTTGTTTGAAATTAAAATAAATTTTTTTTTTCTTTTAGAATGGCAGAATTTAGTGACATTTGGAAGCTTTTCAAACTTGGTTCCCTGTTGTCACTCATACTTTTGTACACTGAGTCAAGTAAAGCTGTACTCTACAAATGTTCAGAAAGAGGGGCAGGGATCAAAAACTCTCAGAGTGGAAAAAATACCATCATTTGATGAAGCAGGTATGTATGTATAAATCTTTTAAAATAAATTTTTCTGTATACTGGAATAGTTTGTGTAAGAATATTTGTTCCTTGAATATTTGTAAAACTTACTGGAAAACTGTCTTACTGATATTTTTATACAGTTCTGGAATTCTGGAATTCTCTGTCACTGTCCCTTCATATCTGATCTCTTTCCATTTCTCTTATTTCCTTTTGGAACTCTCATTAGAAATATGTTACATCTTGCTTTATTTTCTGTGTCTCTAAACCTGTTGTATTTTCTATTACTGAATTTTATATTTTTATTTCTGTCATTTTTATATTTCTATTCTGGCCTGAATTCTGGGTTATTTCTTTAGGTCTGCCTAGTTCACTAATTACCTCTTTAGTTACCTCTTATCTACTGATCGATACATATGTAGGGCTTTTAATTTCAGTGACTATATTTTTCTAGAAAGTGTTTTTTACCTTGCTTGGTTGATCTCATGTTCCTTGCTTATATTTTCAAGCTTTTATTACTTAGCCATATTAAACATAGCTATTTTATATTCTCCCTGAAAATTATACTGTCTGAAATCTTTTGGTTCCCACTATATTCTTTTTTCTCTGTTACTTGCTCTCATTCATGATACCATGTTTGTGTTTTTTAACTGAGAGTTGTTCATTTTCTATGCAGTTTTATATCTTGGAACTTTTTGATGTTTCTCTGGATTGAAGATGTGGTCCTGCATAGAGAGTTCGCTTTTACCTGTTAGCTGGTGGGAATACAGCTTGGGACCATTTTAAATTCTCTGCTTCACATTTTTAGACCACATTGGTAGCAAGAATTCAGACTGCAAACTTGCATGAGGGCTGATTTGTCCTTAGGATTTTCAGGGGAGTTTTTCCCCCCACTGGGTAACAGAAAAATAAAGGCAGGCGTGCTTCTCTGCTGTTTCCTTCTGTGTGTATTAATTGTAGTTCACAGTTACACCATGTGTGTGGCTTTTCCCCTGAGCGTCTTCTGTTAGCAGACCTTTTTTCTGAATGTCTCCATCTTGAGCAGAATTATTCGTTTTCTCTGGTCTTCCATGCTCCTTGTAGCCATGAAGTTCTGTAGAAGCTCAAAGAGTATAAGCTTCAACAGAAGTCACTAAGGAAAAAACTGGCTTTGGTGTACTCATTCTATAGAGGTCCAGCTTTTCCTTCCTTTTGCCTTCTTCAGAACATTTTTTGCTAGCTTAGCAATGCATTTGAAAAGATTTTGTTCAGGCTACCTCGTTTGCTGTGCAGCATTAAAAAGAAGTCCTTTATTCATTATTTTATTCAAGAAGTATTTATTGAGTACTTTTTATATGGCAGCAAGTGAGAATGACTCTGAGTGTATAGTCTCTTTATTGCTAAAACAGAAAATTAAGCTAAGAAATATAATACTATAGAGTAATTCCTGTGATAGGGGAAATACTGTGTGCTGCAGAGGTTTCTGAGTCTTGAGTGGTTAGGAAAGGTTTCCATGAGGAAATGATATCTAATTAGGGACCTGAAAGAAAAGAGGTATTGGTGTGATGTATGGTGGAGAAAGAAGGTAAAATTGCAAGTAATAATAGTGTGATTGAACTAGTGAGTAAAGGACCTGGTGGTGGGGTTGGTAGTTTTGAAAAGTGCAAGGGATGAAACTCAAGAGGGAAACACTAGTCAGATCAGGGTTTTGTTCAGGAGTTTGGACTTTGTAGGCAGTGGGAATCTATTGGAGTATTGTTAGTAGAGGAAATATTTGACCAGATTTAAGAATGAACGATAAGTTGCAGACTGGAAAACAGATTGCAAATGAGGCAATAATCCAAATGATGGTCTAGACCAGGCTAATGGCAATGATTTTTTTAAAAGGAGGTGAACACAAGAGATTTAGGAGCTGAATAATTAGGGCTTGGTGATTGAATTTGAGGGCATGAAGGAAAGAGTCAAGTAAAGGTCAGTGCCTGGTATGCATTGGGCAATTGCGTAGTGATTTCCTTGGCTTCTAAAATTAGGAATACCAAAGCTAGAGTAGAGTATACTTTGAGAAGATAATGATTCAGTTTTGGACTTCTAAACTGTAGGTGCCTCTGAGACATCTTAATGGATGACTAGTAGACAGTTGGATATACTACAGGCAAATCTCAGAGGTATTGTGAGTTTAGTTCAAGCCAGTGCAATAAAGCAAATATTGCAGTAAAGCGAATCTCAAATTTTTTGGTTTCCCAATGCATATAAAAGATGTGTGTACACTATATGTAGTCTATTAAGTGTGCAATGGCAATATGTCTAAAAAAGGTACATTATTTAAAAAATACTTTATTGGTAAAAAATGTTTAGCATCATCTGAGCCTTCAACAAATTATAATCTTTTTGTTAATGGAGGATCTTTATGTTGATGAAAACTCAGTATCTGTGAAGTACAGTAAAGGAGGGTTTAATAAAACAAGCTGTATCTGTACTATTCCACTGTGAGACATCATCATCTCTTGGCTGGCTTACTGCAATAACCTTCTCCTTGGGCTCCCTGCTTTTACTCTCTTACTTGCTCATTATGTTTCAGCCAAACCAGTCTTATTTTGGTTCTTAGAAAACCAATCTTGTTCTCATTTATAGGGCCTTTGCTCTAGTTGCTTTCTTTCCAAGGTGTACTTGGTCACATGGCTGACCTCTACTGGCCATTACATTGTAGTTGAAATGTCAGCTCTGCACAGTCATTCTTTAATCACTCAATCTGAAGTAGCCACCTAGTCAGTCTTTAATATTATCTTAATTTTAATTCTCTGTGTAGACTGTACTTATTACTGACTGGTATTTTCAGTGTCTATTTACTTCTTTATTTCCCATTTGTTTGCAAGCCAATGACAGCAGGAACCTCAGTGCCTAGAGTGGTGGTTTGCACATAGTAAGGGTTTAATAAACATTTGTAAATGAATGAATGTGTAGAGTTCTAACCTGGAGATACAGATTTAGGAGATGTTAGCTATACCCAGGTGGTAACTGAAATCATGGGTATGTGTGAGATAGTGCAGGGAGAGTGTTTAGAGTGAGGAGATAAAATCTAATACAGCTCTAGCCAGTTTGGCTCAGTGGTTAGAGCATCATCCCATGGACTGAAGGATCCCAGGTTTGATTCTGGCCAAGGGCACATACCTTGGTTGCAGGCTCGATCCCTGGCCCAGTCAGGGCATGTGCAAGAGGCAACCAATTGATGCGTCTCTCTCGCATTGATGTCCCCCCCCCTCCCCCCGCCAAAAAAAAGCAATGGAAAAAATATCCTCGGGTAAGGATTAAAAAAAAAAAAGATCTACTAGAAACCCCCTAATGAGTAGGGACAGATGGAAGAAGAGGAGCTGCAAAGAATCCTTTAGGAGGAGCAGCCCAGAGAGATAGGAGAAAATCCAGGGAGAGCACAGTGTCGGGAGAAGAGAGTTTTGAAGAAGAATAAACATTTCAGGACCATCTTTCCCGGATATCTTTCACAGGGAAAGATTTTACAGATTCATTGAGAAACTTGTATTCATGTAATGATAATCTGTTTTTCTTCCTTTCCCTTAAGTCTCACCCTCCCTTTGGGCTTACTGTACAATTTTAACCAGTTTCTTTCCTTTTACTTGTGGTGATGGAGAACTGCTAGGGTAAATATCGATTGAGAGGTTTGATATTAAAGGATGAAGGAATGGAGAGTGTAGTGAGTCCCTAAGTTCCAGAAATAAGCATGTTTATTACATCATCAAAATGGGAGAAGAAATAGGCGATGAAATAATAAAGGGTAGATTATGTTATAATGCTCTTCTGAGGTGACTATAGACTCAGGCAAAAAATACTTACTGTTGGTTTCTCTATATAAAATGCTTGAAACTGAAATCCATGAGTAGGTTTCTTTTTTTTATGCCAACTGGAATAAAAATGTTAATTATTTAATTTTTTAAAAATTTGTCTTTATTGTTGAAAGTATTACAGATGTCCCCCTTTAATCCCCCATTGATCTCCCCCCACCCTAC